ATTAAGTAATTACTGAAAATTGGAATACAATGTTCAGATATCCTATGTAGAGTTTCTCGAGCTTCTGTCAATTTTTGGTGCTTCGTAATTCTACAGGTCAACCTTTTGCGCTTGGTAATCATACGAGTAAAATTATAATTTTTACCCATGTCTATGAGAACTTTTAAAATTATAAAAATATAGTTTTAACTTAATTATAAATATATTTTGAAATTTGATATTTTTTATTTGTTATTAGTCCATCACATATAAATATACCAAATTAATTTTATTTTATCAATTTTCTATTTGACATACATGTTGGACTTATAAAAGAATTCTATTCTTATAAATATAAACTAAATAATATTGTAATGCTAAGTTTTAATAAGTATTAAAAATTTTAAAATATAGATTTTTTATTTATTTTTTATTTTTTAATTAACACCCTATTGTACCACTACTAGTAGTTCAACTCAGCTCATGTGCGTCGGAAAAGGATGAAATGCCGGGTCCATACTCCATGCCAAGAAGGCCCAAAAGGCCCAAAGCAGTTTGCATACATGGTTATAAACGTAGGTCAGGGCTTTACATCCCAGGAGGTTCAATTGCTTTCTCGCTAAATTTGGGCCCAAAAGGCCCAAATCAGTTTGCATACATGGTTATAAATGTATGTCAGGGCTTTACAGCCCAGGCGGTTCAATTGCCTTCTCGCTAAATTTGGATAACATACAGTATTTTAAAACATTGATTGAAATGAGAAATGGAGAATTCTAAATAAGATGGATCTTATTTTTCTCCAACATCTACCATATACACAGTTAGGGATACATTGAAATGCCATACAATCATTATCAATTTTACAACCAATATATTGACACATGTCAAATTGATCTCTAGGGTCTTCGTATTCAAAATTTGGAGCTTCAGATGAATTTGGATTTTGACCTTGACTTTGTGCTGGGGAGTAGTAATTATTGCTTAATTTTTGAGTTTCAGTTGTAAATAGAAAATAATTTGCATTTAGATGGAGATAATAATAATTTTGACTAATCAAAAGCAATTGGAAATTTCATTAGATATGCTAATATCTCGTGGCATTAGTAAGCAATTATATATATTAAATCATGATAAGTGGGTAGAAGAACAGGGGTGTATCAAAAGCGATTACTTTATTCATGTTTGTTTGTTTTTTTCTTTTTTTTTTTTTTTTTTTTTTTTTTTGGTTAAATATGAAATTGGGTTGGGCTTTTTCGTAAAGAATTTGTGATGATGGTTATATTTTTCCTCTGTATCTAGGAAATGAAGATGGAGAGGGCGACTCTGGTTTTCGTGAAATTTTTGTGATGGCAACTGTAATTGTGATGATGATTATTAAATTAATTTCGTAAAGAATATGATTAA